CTCATCGGGCAATGCTCCCGAATGAGATATACAAATTGTTTCTGAAAGTCAGGTCGTAAAACAATACATGGGAAAGTATGAGGAACGGCGAGACATCGAACATGGGAAACATTGCACCGAAACTATTGTCGACGATCGACGCCCCCAAACACAGTTGACGCTGGCGCTAGCGAACCCCTAGCTAAGGGACCGGGCCGCTCTTGACCTGGCTCTGGGTAGACTGACAGCGTTTTTGTTCAAAAAAATACAGAATAAGGAAAAAGAAATGAAATAAAAAAGCACAGACTTTAGAGAGGCAAGAGATCACATGCATCTGAGCCCTACATTGTGTTGTCGGAGAAATAGGGCCACATGCCCACAAAGGTAGAGAACAGAAGAAGAGAGATCAGAAGGTCATTCCAGCAGAGGACACTACGAACTGCACTTTCTAACCCATCGACCATTGTGAGATTTTCTGCACGCACGACATGGTCTCTGAACTTGACGTCGCATCGGGCAGCGCCCTCAAGTCCTCCAAGGATGTGGAAAGAACGCACGATCCTGCAAAGACTGTCGCAGCGCATCACCCATCTAGGCTGCCTGCATGCCGTCTGTTCCTTGGCCATTGCGGAGCTTACATCTGGACCTTTGTAATCGCGAATGGACGCTGGGGGCGAAGCAGAATCTCGGAGGGTAATCAAAAAGAGGAATAACGAGGAGCACATTTCAGAAAAGCAATAGAATAGAAATACGACGATGCCATCGGATAGGCCATCTCACTTTCTTTCTCGTCTTCCCGTTCTCCAGTTCTCCCGTCTGGACGGATAACGGAAAGGCGACACACACGTGCCCCATTTGCATGGCTAGAAGAAACTTGTATCTCAGAGGTATCCCTTGCCCATTTGGCAAAGGCCCGAAAGCTGAAAAGACGGAGAATCTCTGAGAGGGTCTGGCTGGCCACGACAATAGCCGCTCGGCCTAGACAAAAAGGCGACTTGTTGACCGGTATGGCCGATCGGCCCGGCTCACTGGTTCCTTGGGAGACTAAATGAGATGGAGGGGTTGTGTAAAAAGAAGAAAAAAAGGAAGAAGAAAAAGAAAAAAATAAAGAAAGAAAGAAAGTAAAAGGTGCAGGCCGTGCATGGAAAATTGCATGTGCAGTCTTTTGGGTGTGGTGAGAATGAGGGGACGGAGAAACGTGGTATCTCGGCTTGTTTTGGTCGGATGCATCCTGTCTGTTCACCCGCATCTATCCTTTTTTTTTATGTGTGTTCGCGTGCGTGCTCCTTTCTCTTTCCCCTCCATACTCTCTCAGTACTCTCGTGTCGACTGTATGTCTCCTCTTACGCCTCGATCGTTTGCCGCCACTGCTCTTATGCCACGACAACATCGTGAAAGTGCAGACATTTGCTACAGTGGCGTATTTGCCGAGACCAAGCACACCATCTTTTCAGGACCCTCGTGCTCTTATAGGCAAAGACGTCCACCCCATTGCAGGAAACGCTGTTCCCGGGGTAGATGAAGCCCTATTCTCTCTAAAGTGACCCTGACAACCGACCCAATGCCAATGAACAGCAGCGGGGACACGAGTTGCCCAGATGGGTAGCTCGGCTCTTTGCGTGCTGTATATGCTCTTTGATGTAGTGTCTTGTCATTGCCAAGCAGGGCAGCAAAGGCATTGGTATCAAACTTCATCCTTGTGACCGAAGCCGCAGTGCAGGTCGCTGAAAGCGGCCAAGATCGCATAACCGCTGGTTTCGGAAACCGTCTGTGGCACTATTACACCACGTTTTCACATTTCGTTTTCAAACCGGGTGACATCTTGTGATATCCTTCCACAGCAGCCACAGTTGTTGTCACCATCAAGGGTCATCAGGAACATGCCAACCAGACGCGCAGAAACGCAATGTAGACGTGTCAATGTATGGCATGTGAGTTAGAAAATTGAAAGAAAGAAAAACACTGCAAAAAGGAAGGAGAAAAGCCACATGCAAATCAAAATGTGCTATACAAAAAAAAGATTTTGTTACCCAACGCCTGCAGGTGCCCGAATCACCTGCATATGCCTTTTGTGTCCCGCTTACGTCGTCCTTCGTTTCCCTAATTCCGCCATAGCCGCACCGCCTTGTCCTTGCTGCCGCTCGCGACACGCTGGCCATCGGGACTCCACTCCACCGCATACACCTCGTCCTCGTGGTGCGGCAGGTCCGCCGCCAGCTTGGCCGCCCGCACGTTCCACACTTTGACCGTCGCGTCCTTGGACGCCGTCACCAGCAGGCGCGAGTCGGCCGACCACGAGCACTGGTACACGGGCGCCACGTGGCCCCGCAACGTGCTGCTGAAACTGCCGTCGTGCGCCCGCCAGATCTTGGTGTGGTTGTCCCAGCTCGACGACGCCACAAAGAGGCCGTCGGGCGAGAACGTGACGTGGTTGATGGCCTTTTGGTGGCCCACCATGCGCGTCACGGGCTTCGTCTTGCTGGGGTCCCACAGGTACATGGTAAAGTCGTCCGACGCCGACACCAGCCGCTCGCCCTTCGTGCCGTGCGCGCCGGCCGCCTTCTCGTAGCGTGCGCGCGCCTTTTCGCGCTTCGCTTCGTCCGTCGTCGGGATGCCCTCGGCGCCGGCGGCGCCGCCGCCGCCCGTCAGGTGGTCAAAGTAGCCCGTCCGCAGCACAAAGTCCGTCGACAGCGCCAGGTGGTTGACCCAGTGGGCGTGTGCTTTGAGCTCGTGCACCAGCGTGCCGCGCGCCGCATCCCAGACGCGCACCGTCTTGTCGTGCGACGCGCTGTAGATGTAGCCCGCGCCGCCCCATTTCACGCAGCTCACGCTGCCCTTGTGGCCCGAGAGGACGTGCTGCACGGTGCCCGAGTTGGCTGCCCACACACGCACGGTGCCGTCCTTGCTGGCGCTCGCCAGCTGCAGCACGCCGTCTTGCATCGCGTGGTACGGTTCCCAGGCCAGAGCCAGCACGGGCTTGGAATGGCCGGTCAGCTCCTTGCCCACCACCAGACCGGTCTCCGGGTCCCACACAATCACGCTGCCGTCCATGCTGCACGTAGCCAGCCGCGTCCCGTCGGGCGACCAGGCGACGGCCAGCACCCAACCGCGGTGTTTCTTGAGCGTGAACTTGGGCGTGCCCGTCTCCGTGTCCCAGATGCGTGCCGTGTGGTCGCCGCTGCCGGTGGCCAGTAGCCGACTGGCGGCTGGACTGAAGGCAACTGCCAGTATCGACTGGCCGTGGCCAGGGATGCGGTGCGCCAGCCGTGTGACGCTCTGCACGCGGAAGACGGCCTGCGGCTCGGCGGCGAGCGTCAGCGTCGTCTCAAAGGGGTTGTCGATGCCGTGGCTGCGCAGCAGGGCATAGAGGTCGGTCGGGTACTGGTCGACGACGAGGGGTGTTTTCTTGTCGTCTTTTGCATCGGTGGCGTCGGTCGGGATGTGGATGCGGAAGCGGTAGGGCAGGAACTCGTCCTGGTCGCGGCCGAGCAGCGTGTTCAGGAGCAGCGACACATTCTTCTCCGAGGCATCGGCGATCGGCACCTCGACCACATCGGCCATCTGCTGGCCATCGGCGTCGATAAACCGTGCCTTGAACGAGCCGTGGTCTGGTGGCAGCAGTGCGTTGACATCCTGCTGCACCTTGGTCCGCGCGATCTCCTCGCGCCGCTGCCGCTTGGGCGGCGGTGGCACGAGCGTCGCCATTCGTGTGATTGCGTGTGCGTGTGCGTGCGAAGATGAGGGGTATACTAGATAAAAAGAGGGTATGACAAAGAGAGGAACTGGACAAAGCTGCGTTGGTGGCCAGAAAGTCTGCCCAGGTAAACAAGAGAGCAAGTCTACGGACGAATTTCAGGGTCGCTCTTGCCTACTGAACGAAACTTTTCCTTTTTTCGTTATCGGCTATCTTATCTTATCGCACGCCATATGTGCCCGCCCCACACAATTTTCCAGCGCCGTGTCAGTAAATTGTCCAGTAAAGTCAGCAGGAACAGCACATTGTTCTAGCCCTCTTTAGTTCACTTTAGCGCCCACTTTCAGATGCGCAATAATCCTTGGCCGTAACGATGAAGTCATTGCGCGTCGACGCATTTCCTCTCCAAGGCAGTCCAGCGCCAGGCGACAGTTAATTGAGGTCAGTCTGGAATCAGTGTACCGCGCGTCACTTCAGTGCTCCTAACAGAATGTGCAGTGTTGCTCCGTAGGTTACCTCCTGCGTCTGCCTCGCTCCTTCCTTCTGTTGATTTCGTGATTTATGTCATTTTATTCTGTCCGACTTTACCTATCCTTCGCTCCTTCATCCACGCGCACTTGCCCTTGTAGATAAGCTCGATCCAGGGGCATCTTACGCGGCGACAACACAAAACACGCTGTAATAAAACCACAAAGATGCCTTGGTAAACTGAGGGCCTGTGGCGCAGTGTTAGCTTATCCTTTAATTTTTCATTGTTAGCGCCTTGGCATGCTGTTCTAGTGGGTACCTGCCGCCGACACTGGCCAATCCAGGCGCCTTGCACCTGCCAACAGGGGCTCAAACAAAACCGGCTCGCCTGTCGTCACTCTGGAAGGCGCGATCTCTGTTGTTGTTTCGCCTATTGCTCCTTCTTCCAGCGTCGCCCCAGGCGGCCAGGCCGCTCGTCACTGCCGTTTTCGTCGCTTGTCTACGTCGTAATGCTTCCTATCGCGCCAAGCTGTTAGGCGGCTTGCCAAGATTGTCGTCACTGTGACTTTCATTTCTTCGCTCGCCACAGTCCAGTAACTGCCAGCGATTTCACCTTCGTTTTGCAGCCGACTTTCTTGTCCCGTTCTTGGTGGTCTTGTATCTCTTTAAAGTCGAGGCACATCCCGTTGACAAGCTTCTCTTGGCTGTTGGCATTCGTTTTCGTTTGGAACATTGACGTACCTAACGCCTTTTTTCCTCTTACCCCAGCATCGCCACAGATCTCGCATCGACTAAAAATAAAAATTCGCCGAGATCGACTCGACGCGTCTGAGTCGCGAAATTCTTGCGTCTCTACGAAATGCGTATGTCAACCACCCAATCCTCCCCTTCAGAGCCTCAATTGGGCACTGCTGACCTCGTAAAGACCGCATCCAATACTGGGCGCGGCAGAAAGCTCACGGTACGCCGCTCGTCGCCAGCACCAGGCGTACCAACACGGGCGTTGCGCGCACAACCTCGCGCGCACCGTCAAGTCAACCGACCCATGGACCGGGTGGCGTTGTATCAAATCAGATCCCCAGCGGCGATGCCGCCGCCGCTGGCAGCGTAATACCGCCGACCGAAAATGAAAAGAACGACAACACTGCAGCCGCCAATAGCGGCGCTACAAAACCAAACGTTGCCATGCGCTTCGTCTTGACCGTGAAAGACATCCTCTTTTCCAGCTATGTCAATGTCCTGCTCGTCTTTGTGCCCGTCGGCATCGCCGCGCACTTTGCCAAACTGTCAGCCGGCGTCGTCTTTGCCATGAACGCCATTGCCATCATCCCGTTGGCCGGTCTGCTGAGCCACGCGACCGAGAGCGTCGCCAGCCGTATGGGCGATACGGTCGGCGCGTTGATGAATGTGACGTTTGGCAACGCGGTCGAACTGATCATCTTCATGTACGTCACTGCCGTCCTCCCCTGTCTACGCTTTATAAGCCATACTGAGCTACCAGTCGACCATGCTAACCATCCACTGGCCACAGCATCGCGCTTGTAAAAGACGAGATCGAGATTGTCCAGGCGTCTCTTGTCGGTTCCATCCTGGCCAACCTGCTGCTCATTCTCGGCATGTGCTTCTTACTAGGTGGCCTCCGCTACCGCGAGCAGATCTACAACAGCACAGTCACGCAGATGAGCGCTTGCTTGCTCAGTTTGAGTGTCAGCAGCCTGCTGCTTCCCACCGCATTCCACGCCTCCTTCAGCAGCGCCACCAACGCCGACACAAAGGTGCTCGAGGTCAGCCGCGGCACCAGCGTCGTTCTCCTACTCGTGTACGTCCTGTACCTTGTTTTCCAGCTTAACTCGCATGCCTACATGTACGAGTCGACGCCCCGCCACATTGTCGAGCGCGAATCGCTCCCCGGCCCCGCCGCCAGCTACTTCAACTCGTCGTCGTCGTCTTCGTCTGAAACATCCTCCGACTCGTCTCATGGGGACTCGGATTCCGACGCGTCGCGTAGCACGGCCAAGCGTATCAAGCGCGCGATCAAGAAGGGCAGAAAGAAGATGCACAACCGCAGTGCTTCAACGGATGCCAATAGCGCGCCGACGTCGGCCCTCCCGCATAATGATGAAGTGGCGTCCGCCTCTGCCTCGGGCAGCACAACCGCCGGTGGCCCAAGCGACGCGGCCGAGGTACCTGTTATCGACAACGGCGTTGTCGCCGATGATGAGGACGATGAGGCCGCCGAAGAGAAGCCGCGCGACAAGAAGAAGCGCAAGCATCACAAGAAGAAGAAGGTGGCCGAGGCCAAGAGCGATGCTGCCCGTGCCGCCGAGGGAGACGACGATGTCAATGCCGTCCTCGCATCGAGCGGCATGGCAGCTTTGCCCGAATCGGGAGTGGGTGCGGGCGGCAGCGTCCGCCGCGTTGATTTTGCCTTGGGACCGGATGTCGAGGCCCAGACCGCGCCCCGGCCGCAGCCCTTCACTCTGCGTTGGCTGGCCAGACCGGGCGGCCTGACAAAAACACTGCCTGACAACGTGTTTCATGCGCGCGCGGGCGAGGCGCAGGCCAGCAGTAGCCGCAGCAACGCCCAACCGCTGTCGACGCCCGACGCCTTTGCGGCGTCGAATCAGGCCCGCCCGCAGCCCCAGCTGCGCCGCACGGCGTCCATGCCCGTTGAGACGCGCAGCTATCGCAACCAGCCCGGCGCGCTGCCGCCCATTGTTCCCGTCATGGTCAATCGCCGCACGTTTATGGCACCGGCGGCCGGTGACGGGGACGAGGACGACGAGGAAGAAGAGCCGCAGATCTCGCGCACGACGGCCGTCCTCCTCCTGCTCGTGTCGACCGGTCTCGTCGCGCTGTGTGCCGAGTTCATGGTGGGCTCCATCAACGAGGTCGTCAGCGGCAACTCGGGCATCTCCGAGGCCTTTATTGGTCTCATCCTGCTGCCGATTGTCGGCAACGCCGCCGAGCACGTCACCGGCGTCACGGTCGCCATGAAGAACAAGATGGACCTGGCCCTGGGTGTCGCCCTGGGCTCGTCCATCCAGATTGCCATTTTCGTCACGCCCGTTGTCGTCCTGCTAGGCTGGATCATGGGCAAGGACATGAGCCTCTACTTTACGCTGTTTGAGACGGTCAGCATGTTTGTCTCGGCCTTTATCGTCAACTTCCTTGTGCTCGACGGCCGCAGCAACTATCTCGAGGGCGCGCTGCTCTGTGCTGCCTATGTCATCATTGCCGTGGCCTCCTTCTTCTACCCGGGCAAGGGCGATGCCAACTCGCTGGGCGGCGGCACGGACAACGTGACCGAGTCTGTGACGGTGGAGGCGGCGAAGATGGCTGTGCGCGGTCTCGTGAGCCTCATGTGAGGTAAACGGGGACTCTGAATGCAGGCCAAGGAATAGAGTTGGCGTTCAATTGCGTTGTGTCCTTTACATGCTACAAGTAGCACCTCTGTTTCTGTATTTTCTACATTTTTTATTCCCAATTTTTTGTTGTTTCAACAATGATAGCGTGTGTTTTCAGGAAAGGAAAGATTCGGCGAGGACAAGAAAACGCAATACCCTGGCATAATAATGGAGTACAATAATTCGACAATTGTTTGTAACTATTCTTGCTTCTGGCCAAGAGAACGTCTGTCCATGTAATTTTTGTGTCACTGAATTCCCTGCAGAAAATAAAGTCAATGGATTCCAATAGCCACAATCTATCCCGGCTCAATGTCGAAGTGCAGCCTGTTTGGCGTCGCCCAAATGCCCCACCTACGCCACCCTACATAAGCACAGACACGAGTCCAGTTTCCATCAAGTAACATGACTGGCTCAGTGGTCTAGTGGTATGATTCGCGCTTCGGGAAAAGGTTGTCCTACCAAGGAATAGCCGGCCCTTCTGCTTAGCAGGAACATGTGCGAGGTCTCGGGTTCGATCCCCGACTGAGCCCAAATTAATTCTTCGGAATATGATTTGACAAATTGGTCTTCTTTTTGCTTTTTCTACCGTTTCTCTTTTCGTACATTCCTTTTATGTTCCCTACTTTTTTTTTTTCTTTTATGGTTCTGTTTCAGAGATTCTTAATTTACGCGAAAACTGTTGTTTTAAATTGGTTTTATTTTTTTTATTTTTTTCTTAAATTTTTTTTGTCTTTTTCCTTACTTGTCTAAACGTTGAAACAAAACAATAATAAAACAATAACAGACTAATAACCATTATTACTGCCTCATAGAGTAGCATGTTGACACGGTGAGACAACCCGACGAAGCCATACTACTTAAAAACAGGGAATGCACCTTGTGCTCACGTATTGCACATGGATGTACCTGCCTCTTTGGGACTTACACGACTGGCTGCGCCTGCCATGTAATACCTCACATCATTACCCATCGCTCCTTCCAGTTCGACACATTGCACCAACGGGGAACTTCTCTATTTTGTTACCCCTTTTCGTATCGTCTAAATCTGCCCCCTTTTTTCCCTTCGTTTCTCCTCCTTTCGTGAAAAAACAGCAACACCATGTACTCGGAAAAGACAGCGCATCGGGGCCTGGCTGGGTCATCCCAGCCGTCGGTCCGGTCATTCACAACACCGACAAGCTCGCGCTGGGCCGCCATCAACACACGAAATGCTCTGAACCCACCCAGTGCATACAATCCACCGAGCACGCTGCAGGGGCGAGGTACTGGCAGCGGCGTTGGCAGCGGCCGCGCATCCGGCACCATCAGCCGTCCAGGTGGTACTGACCAGCGCCCGCCCTTCCCTATCGGCCCGGATGAGAATCGTGGTGTTGTGTGCGCTGTCTGCGACTCCAACAATGTCAACCGCGCTGTCGGGCTCGCGTTTGTCAACGTCCCCATTGCCGAGGCAGTGCTCACTACCGTGGCTGATACACAGTACTACCAAGGAACTATCCACAAAATCCAAATGATGGAAGTCTCTCGCATTCTGATGCAGCCGACGCAGGCGTCCTCCGTCCAGTCGGGACTGGCTTTGCGGCCACACATTGAAGAAGAGCTGCGTGGCCTGCCTATTGTCGAGAGGGCCAAACCTGCCTGGTCTGCTGACGACGGGATGCTCGCTCTCCAGCGGGTGGCCTTTACTGAAGATCTTCCTTCTCTCGAAGTTGCTGTCAAGGACAACTTCCACCTGCTTTGCGCCTTTTCAGCGGTAAGAACCAGATGTGATTCAGTGCACGAATTATATGCACAAGCTAACTTCCGTAGGCGATGAAATTTCTCACGGACGACATGGGAATCGACTTTGATGACCACTCTGTGCGCATCAAATACCAGCCTCCTAGTGATGCCATGATGATAAGTCTGCCAACGATTCGGTCCCTGGAACTAATCCAGAATGCCATCAATAGCCGCTCAAAAGACTGCCTGTATGGCCTCCTGAACCGTACGACGACGCCAATGGGGTCGCGAGTCCTACGAAGTAACATTCTGCAGCCATCAACACTTGCAGCCGTTCTAAACCCGCGTTACGAGGCTGTGGGAGAGCTGGCGCACAAGGACGGTCTGCTTGACAAAGTTGTAGAAGGTATGAAAGCCAAAGTGTGTGCTTCGATCGGATACGTTCGCTGATATATGCTTTAGCACTTCAAAAGTTGAAGCCTCTCGGTGATGTGGAACGGCTCTTGACAAAGGTGACCAAGATTTACAAAACAATCATGCCATATGTCTGTCAAACCAACTAACAAAGTATTCTCAGCTTGTTATTCTGCCAAAAGACGGCTCCATATACGAATCTGAGCAGGCGATCAACAACATCCTCAAGCTCAAGGCATTCTTGACAGCCATACCCCAAGTCTTCGAGTCTCTCTCCGACGTCTCATGCGATCTACTGCTGGAAATACGCAGCAATTGTCTTCCAGCTCGAGCAGACAGAATCCTGGGGATTATTGGGGACACAATCGACCGGGACGCCGCATATGCTACCAAGCCACTGGAGTTACGAAACCAAAGGGTTCATACAGTCAAGGTTTGTAAAAGCTGCACGCTGCAATGTGACATGTGACATGTACTGACGGGACTCTAGCCTGAGATCTCGGTCAGTCTTGACATTCAAAGAAAACTCTATGAAGACTTTAGCAGAAAGATTCACGATTACGTGAATGATCTGGAGGGTAAGTACCTTTTGATCCTTTGAAGCTTTGTACCTACGCTTACAAAACATTCTAGACGAGATTCGTGTCAAAGTTGCGCTCAAATACACAGCTACAAGAAAATTCTACCTTAAAGTCAACGCAAAGGACTTTGGCCCGCAAGGTCCACCGCCTGTGTTGGTGAATACCAAACCGGTCAAGGGTGCTATCGAGTGTCAGACACTGAAGCTCATAGGTTACAATGAGCGCATAAACGAGGCTGTTCATAGAGCCATAGTCGAGAGTGACGAGGTCATCAAAAGCCTGCTCTCCCAGATCCGACCGCGAGTCTCAACGCTCTTCAAATACTGCGAATGCATTGCGCTTCTCGACCTCCTGGCTTCCTTCGCGACGTCCACTAGGACGTACACATACAAGCGGCCATTGATTCACACCGATTCATACGCTCTTGTTGGTGGTCGGCATCCGATTCTGGACTCGGTATGATGGCATTCAGCTTCTACATGTACAAGGGGAAGGTACTGACGTTACCATAGCGCGGCCACAATAAATGCATCCCCAACGACTATTTTGTCACCGAAGAGACCCGCTTTCAGATCATTACGGGCCAAAACATGAGCGGCAAGAGCACATATATACGGTCCATCGCAATGCTGCAAATCATGGCTCAAATTGGCTGCTACATTCCCGCCGAATCTGTTCGTATTCCAATCATGCAAAGCCTTTTTGCTCGTGTATCAACAGACGATACCATGGAACAGAACCAGTCGACCTTCTCGATCGAGATGCGAGAAATGGCATTCATTCTCAGGTGTGTTTTGTCCATCGTATAGGCGCCTCTCTCTACCTCCCAATCACTAACTCATGCGATAGAAACGTCAACAACAAGAGTTTGGTGATTGTCGACGAGCTGGGACGCTCCACCAGTACGCAAGATGGGTTAGCCATTGCAGCAGCTATGTCCGAAGCACTTCTTCAGAGCAATGCAACTGTGTACTTTGCTACGCATTTTTCCGAGCTGGCCAAGGCGCTGGCGATCAACATTGGGGTCGTGAACCGCCACTTGAGAACAGTGACCGAATACTCAGAGTCGGCTACCCATGTTCCCGTCATGAACATGCTATACCGCGTGGCCGAGGGACCTGAGCCAGAGGTGAGCTACGGCATCGCTTTGGCTAAAGCAGTGGGCTTCCCAGCGACGTTTATTGCCCATGCCGAGAAAGTAGCCGCCGAGCTACGTGCGGAGGCACAGGCTAGCAAGCGTGACCGGCAAGAGATGGAAGAGGCCAAGCGGCGCAAGCTCGTGGCGAATCTCGTTCGACAACTAAAGCTTGCATACGTGAGCGACGCCGGTGACGAAGAGCTCGCGGAGTATCTGACGCAGATCTACGACGACTTCTGTGCTAGGATGATTGGCTCAATCGATGACGAAGATGCAATCGTCGAGGAGGACGGTAACGAGAATGAATGCGACGACGACGGAGACGGAGAGCATAATGGGGCAGAGGAAAACATGGCAAGAGTGGCCCGCAAGGGACAATATGCAGTCAGGAAACCCAGCGATTTGGGCTTGTTTGGCGGCGGCACTGACGACGATGTTGACGATGTTGACGATGTTGACGATGACTACGATGACTTATACCGGCCGGGAAGCGCTGCCAACGCCATTGTGATTGAAGATGACGAGGAATTTGATGAAGACCACATGAGCGATATGGAGGACATTGGGAACGACTCTGACGAAGAAATGTACTAATATTTTAGACTGTTACGCTTCACAAGCTATCATAGACGCACCAGTTACTGTAATTTCGTCAATTATGTAAACAACGTATGGACAGTGACAGAACAGTATGTATAGTGTTAATGTAGAAAAAACGGAAAATGGAAATGGAAAGCAGCATTCTATGTGGTATATCGACACAGCGAAATAGGGCTAGTCATGAAAAGAGCGTCGTAAATAGTGCAGTGGGCTCACAAAGTAGGTACATGGCAAGACAAAAAAGGAGAACAAGTTAAACAGGAGAATTATAAGGAAAGCAGACAATAGGAAAGGTTGGGATAGAAGATTGGAGCAAAGGGTTCAGCAAGCCGGCTATGAGTTATTAACAGTGCCACTTGCAGCCTCGCCGCCCGACGGGGGCGTATTGGCATCACGCCAGATGTGTGTGTCGCCTAGACTAAACGAGCTGGACGCGCTGCGGCGGCTGCGGGACGAATCCTCTCCGTTGGCTGCGGAGGGCTGCGACAGACCCGACGGCCCAGGCGCGTCAGGGCCTCCACCTCCACCTCCACGGAGGATGCCATCTATGTAGTTGATGTTGTCGTCGTCGGCATCTGCGTCATCGCTGTCGCCATTGACAAACACCTCATCGTCGGGGTGCGGCTCGTAGGGCGGCGGGTCCTTGTAGATCCACGGCTGCACGAGCGGCACAACCAAGCTGGGGTTGACGAAGCGCGAGCCCCTGTCGCGGTTCTCGTCGAGGGTGCTCGTGCGGCGGCGGCGCCAGGTCCGGCGGCGTCGTGCAAAGGTCTGGTTGCCGAGGCCGTTGTGCACATCCTCGTCGCTCAGCGGCGACGCATCGCCGTCGCGCCGAACGCTAAGCAGCGCGATGTTGTGTGTCAGGGGCTCAAAGTGGCCCCGCCAGAAGTACATGTACCACACCGTGAAGAAGAAGAGCGGGAGCACCAGCGTCGCCTGGACGTACGCCTTGTTGGCGCCGAGGTACCCCGACATGGTGAGGTGGAAGACGGCAAGGCCCAGCAGAATGCGGTAGCAGATGATGCGCCAGGCACCGCCGGTCGCGTGCTGCGGCTGGTCCATGGCGTACAGCAGCTGGTACTTGTAGGTGGTGTAGCCAAGCACAAAGTACACAAAGCCCAATAGGAGAACCAGAAAGCCCCGCGGCATGACGCTGTAGACGAGGCACAGGATAAACACAAGCAGCGCGGTCGGCAGGAAGAAGCCGTACGAAAAGATGGGCGGCGTGCTGATCTGGGCACGGTCGCGCGGCGTCTTGGCGCCCAAGCGGTTGATTGGGTACTGGGCAACGGAGCCGAACTCGAGAAGGCGCAGCGGGAACAGGCCAAGGGCCTGCAGCATGACGAAGTTGAGGTAGAATACATTGAGGCGCTGCACCTCGCGTGCCAGCGCATAGGCGACGTACGTGGTGTCGTGCAGGCTGTCCCGGAGCACGGTCCAGAAGCGCGTGGCGGTGCCGAAGACGGTGAAGACGAGGAAAATGTTGAAGAAGGTGAAGAAGAAGTTCTTGGAAATCAGGGACAGCTCGACGTCGCCCTGGCTCAGCATGCCCTGGCGGTTGGACAGGTACTCGTACAGGTAGGGCACGGCCACGTTGAGCAGCGAGACGACGGCCGTTGGCAGACCAGTCTGCACCAGTGCCTTGGTCACGTCATGCTGCGACAGCTGCTCGGCCAGCTTCGGTGCCCACTTCTGGATGGTGCAGAGACTGAGAAGCGACGCGAGGGAGGCAACGGGGATCAGCCATACAATGGAGAGCACGGTGATGAAGATGGTAATGATCCAGGCGCGCGAGCGACGGACCGTGCGGGAGGCGTAGGTGTTGGGCCAGATGACGTCAGACGGCGCGGGCGCGAAACGAGCGAGCAGCTCACCGGGCCGCGGGTCAAGCACGGCCTGGATGGCCATCTGGCACGCGGCCACGGAGTCCATTGTGACAAAGGCCAGATCGGTGGCGTCGTAGTGCTGGCGGCGAGCAGCACGAATCTTCTCGTCGAGGCGGCGCAGGCGCTCCTCGTAGTAGTCGATCGCGTCAGTGTATCGGTAGCGCATACGGAGAGGGCCGTACCAGATGCGGACTTGCGGACGATTCCGTTCGAGCGCTGCCCGGGCGGCATCGGTGGCAATGTCGTCATTGGCATCACCGTTGTCGTCGTCGTCGTCGTCGTTTTCACCGTTTTCCGGGAGAAGACTGTCGCCCTCGTTGGCCGGAATCTCTGCATTTTCTCTCCCGCCCAGGGCCGCTTCTTCGTCGATCTCTGCCACGTCGTTTTGATTCCCGGCCTGGCTGGCCGCCTGTTGTTGCCGCCGCGGCCGCTGCCGCCGCCACTGGATCTTCGCTACCGGCTGCGCAAGGTAGACGCTCCATGTCTCCTCGAGCTTCTGGAGGACTCTTCCACGCTCCGCAACGAGGGCATCGAGCGGGCCCCATTTGCGGCACAAGGTCACGCTCTCCACGCGTCCAATCTCGAGCTTCTCGATGAGGGCCTTGATCTTGTCCTCGGCACGAAACTCGCTCGGAATGCCCGACAGCCGGAACGTGCGGTCGGTGATGGTGGCCTGGGAGCCGAGATACTCCTGGCGGACCTTGATGACGCGGAAGGTCTCGGACCGCATGAAGTAGTAGGTGAGGCCGGTAAAGAAGTAGATGAAAACGAGGTAGGCCCAGAGGTGGCCCTTTTCGCGGTTCCACGAGTCGTCCTCGTCCGGGTCGTCGACGACGGCTCCGTAGCTGGAGGCGACCGGATTGGGGACGTCGAAAATGCCGCCGAGGGACCCAGACTGCGTCTTGGGCTTGGAAAGGAAGTGCTGGTTGATCGGCTCGAGCACGACGGCGGCGAAGAAGAACATAATGGCAAACAGCTTGATGCTCATCTTGAAGAAGGCCAGGAACACAAAGGCATCGAGGCCCGCCGATGCCAGCACCTGGTCCTCTGATATGCGCAGCAGCGCCGGCAGCCAGCCGAAAAACGAGTCCGGGAGAACGGGCAGCGCAGACACGAGATCGGGGTGCCGCCGACGGCGTGCGTCATACAGCGACTTCCATCGCGGACGCATCAGGCAGAAGCCAAACAGAGCAACGATGCCAAGGCCAAACGAGATGACGGCCTGGACCTGGGTGTCCTTGTTGCCGGGCGAGACATAGCTGTCGCTGGGGCAGTCGGTCGAGTTGCCACCGACGCCGTCGTCGCGTGGGAGGAAGCGGTGGAGCGAGTTCATTGTGTTGAGTGGATGGACGAGGGCGCTGTGTGCGCGGGTGTGACAGGGCCGCCGCGTCCCATGTCTTTCGGAAAAGGGCGTCGTGAAAAGAAGAGATAACGAGAGGGGTTGTCGTTGGAAGGGAGCAAAGCGACAGGGGAAATGAAGCTTTGAAGGCGCGCAGGCACGATGGAGTAAACAAAAGTGGGTCTATGACGGATCTTGAGCGGGAAGGAGCTTAGTGGTTTCCCAGGCGAGCCAGGCTTTGGGCGTCCTCTGGCCATCCTGAAAACTGGCTGTGTGGATGCCTGAAAATTTAGGCTATAAGTTCTGTATGCACGACCTACCTTTCCGCCTCTACGCGTCGTGGTCTGTCCGCAAGTATCATCAGTTTCGGCTGCAATCGGTCGCACCTGCGCACTTTTACGATGCTCCTGCCTCATTTTGCGACCTATTGCAGGAAGGAACGGTTTCCTGCACAGCCGTCGCGGATTGGCCCATTTTGGTGCTCTGTGCCACGTTTATGACGGCCGAGGAAGGTGCAAACGGCGCGACGCACAGAGCAAACGACGCGCGCCTTCCGTAGATGACCAACAACCTGCTGGAGCTGGGCAACCAAAAGGGGCAAGTAGGCTTGTCCGGGATGGAGTCGTATTTGTTTTGAGTGCAATGGCTCTTCTGGTCTTTATTCTTTCTTCTTCATCTTCTACGGACTCGCTGCTCTTAGCTGTCGATTCTTCCAGGAAGACAGGCCGTTGCCCATGATGGCTCTGAAGTACTGCTCGATAAGCAAGGACGGCTCCTACAAGTACCGCTTCGGAGCGTTTCGATTTCCCAGGGTTATTCCGAGACACATTCGCAACCACATCGAGACCAAACTGATTGGGCACAGTGGCATTGACAAGAGAAGCATCGATAACGACAGCGAAGGCCTGGCCGACGGTGGTGGACCGACCAGCACGTTGGCAGCCATCGCGACCGACAATCTCATCCTTCTCTTTCGCATCTTGATATTCTACCGAGAAGCGTCACACCGCGACGGCTTCTACAATGCTGTGGGAGACGACCTTGGCGGTTGGCCTGGTCACATTGTGGAGGAGACGCAGTCCGTCTTTGTCGAAGGCAGGCGACTGTTTCTTCAGCGGTTCTCGAGAACTGATTACGTTTTGCCCACGTCTGTGGAGATTCTTTGCTCCCTTGTGGACGAGTGGATCGGTTTCCAGTCCACAGCTCAACGGCCCACTGCCAATGTCACGGCCTCCTGGGGCCGGCTCCGCGATACCTGGCGCAGTCGGTACAAGTCCAACCCAGGCAGCCTTCTCGTTGCAAGCCCGCCACAGGTCGCGCCAGACACAACACCCGCGTCTTTGTCATATGCAAGCAGTGAATCAGGTGGCGAGGTATTGCGGATGGGAGCTGTGTCAGTGCCAAAACAAGAGGTCAGTCCTGTTGTACGGGCATGGGTCAGTGCTCTTGCCGGCGCACACGATTGCAAACACCAAGAAAGAACTGCCGCAAGAGTTACGTGTTGTGATGGGGGGTCTGACAGTGTTGCCCAGGACCAAGCTTATGTATCCGGGCCGTCGCAGACGCCGGTGTCAAAGCAGGCCCTGGTATGGCCACCAGAAATTCCAGTGCATGCTTCACGTCTGTGCCAGATACGTGATAACGCACGTTCGGCCAAGCGTGACCGCTCCCCCTCGCCGGTGCGGGACTGCGCACTGGACGCGATGCATTCTTCTCAGAAAAATGGGAACACAGCATCACAAAGTGCCAGGCCTTTGGAAAATCCCAATGTGTCAGCAAGCACTACGGGCTGCGCAGTCACCTCTGGGGCGCTTACAACGCGCTCAAGCCCCATAATGGGGAATCCTAGCCTTCCTATAGCTGTTCCCCGTACCTCGAATACCAGCATCACATCTTCCCTGGCCAATTCCAACGTCACTACGGACTCCATCGACGCTCTATTTGGCATCGGCCGAAAAGGCCCCGATCCGTCCGCAACAGCTGGCAATGCTATGGACGCGATTGCCAATCATCCGATGGGAACGTCTGACAACAGTGCGACAAGTCCTGTGAACAACGTCCTTGGTTCAAAAAGTACAAACACTGCGTCGACTCTGGCAGGGGATGAGGCCCTAGGAAGGGCAGGAGTATCGGACCTGACTCCTCCAACATCAAGTGGCCCACCGGTGTACAAAGCTCGCAGAACGCCATCCGACTCTGCTTGGCACAGAGAGGGACGGAGCAACGCAGAGTTGGCGCGCCAGATCAAGCCCGAGGTACCAAACTGCGTCGGTGCTTTGACGTCAGCTGCGATTGCTTCCGCTCTCGCACCTCTACACATTCCCGCAGGTGCTGTCTCGCCAACGCTGTCGGTTTCGTCTGCCTCGAGTTCAATGTTCGTGACAAAGTACCCTGAGATAATCGAGTCGGAACGTGAAGAAAATGGCTCGGCAGTTGGTAGCATCGGCAGCAACACAAACAACAACAAAAAGAACGATCCCAGTGAGCGAAACAATGGTGCTGTCGGAGCCGCTCGGGATGCCAGTGTGGGCTCCACGGCAAAAAGCCAAGGCAGTGGCTTTAGCAAGGTTCCGGACCAATTCATCCTGCCGGACTATTTGAGAATAAAACAGGACGGTCCGCTAGGTAGCCCGGGCCACAAAGCAAATGCTTCGGAGTCTGGAATCAACCAAGGCAAGAAGCACGCCCGAAGCTCAAGCACCGGCGCCGATGACGACCCGCCGGGTGGAATTCTAGAGCGGCCTCGGAAGCGTGTATCGTTCGGGTCGGTTAGTTACACCAACCCGGAGCATCAGCCGCTGTCCCCGGCTCAGAGTGCTCAAACAAAGCGGAAATCATCTCTGTTCACGTCAGCCGCCCCAGCAGCACAATCTACACCAAAAAAGGCGCCAGCGCTGCCCGCTCAGGATCCTCCTCCTACACGGCGTGCAAGCGAGCCGTCGCCGTCCAAGACACTTGGTGGCTCTGCCAGTCTACCCTCCAAGGCTTCACCGACTCCGATCAAAGTAAATGACGGCAGCGATAAACTTGCAAACAGACCAGTGGCCAAGCGTGAGGCTCCAGCCAGTGAGGTGGTTCCGGACAAGGTGCCTAGAACTGCTGTGGTACACTCACCGACCAAGTTTCATAGACTGTTCACCGGACAATCTCCGATAAAGTCCCGGGCGGCAGTGGCCAAAGTTTTGGCTGCGCCTGTGAAATATCAAGTGGTACCGCCGAAACCCCAGGCCGCACCAGCGAAGCCACCGTGCGGCCCGACTCATCCCCCGCCGTCGCTACCACCCAAGCCACCAGTGGCCCAGATCAAAACGCAGCCCACCCCGGCTATGTCACAGAAGCCTCCAAGAAAAGATGTGCCGGCAAAGCCCGAGGCAATTCCAGCCAAGAAACAGACATCACCGGTCAAGACTCTATCATCGCCGACCAAAAAGGTCCTGCAAAGCAAGAATGCAGTGCCGGCCAAGGCTGGCGATGCGATGCCAGCCCCAGTAGTATCTAAGCCTCGCGTGCAGAAGAACAACGATACCAGGCCTGTTCTAAGTGACCTGAGCCTCCGCGAGCCGGCCACGCCTCAGCCTCAGAATCCGGCCTCTTCCGAGGTTAGTGAGGCAGAACGCCGTGCCGAGCAAGCGCAGGCGGTTATCGAGTTCATCAAAGCTCAGACGGCGGCACAGCTGGGCTGCCTACAGCCTCTCCTCAAGTCAGGTGGCGCGGACAATAACATGCTCCAGTGCAACCTTGAGATGATTAGAGCGCAGCTGGATGCGCTGGGCTATGCATCGCGTGCAGCTCTGGATAGGATCCAAGCACGGAAGCACGAGCGACGCAAAGAGAACGAGGCTGTTGCGGGAGCCTGATTGTGTGGTCCCGTGGGTGAAGAATTTGCATTGGACCTTTGGAGTTTTCTTGAGATTATTTTGCAATGCAAGCAGTCGGGGCGGTTGTGTGTTATAGTCGCAGTTTTGCCGCAAGGTTTAGTTTGGTCATTTCTTTCTTGTTTTTGTCATGGACATGCTGTCGTTCGATTGTTTCATGAGAAGACGGGTTGTGTACGTTAGTTTGAATTTATTATACAAATCGTTGACGGATAATGAATGGGAGACTTACCGAAGACGTCTACATATAATGTTAGTTTAACAAGTCATACCCAACGAATAACGGGGCAATGGCTCAGTTGGGAGAGCGTCAGACTGAAGTTCCACTTCTGTCATTCGATTAATCTGAAGGTCCTCGGTTCGATCCCGAGTTGCCCCACGTTTTTCTGCTCTTTTGATGGTCTGTTTGTCCAGTCAACTAGTTAAAGGCAAAATTATAACATCTCGTGCTTTTTTTTATTATATTCCTAATCTTCTTAAATATTTTTAGAAGTAGAAACAAAGGGCTGTCAACTTTACGCGTTGTTTTGGTATTATTCATTTCAGTACTCCGTGTTACTGACACAATAAAATTATCTTTCGTACTCGATGCAGCATACGGACTCTGCTCTCCCGGACCGGACAAAGCTGTCTTTTTTTTTAAAACAAAAAGAAAGAAAGAACGCAAGAAAGAAAGAAAATCATTATGGCACGAGACTTGTATCAGTTATGTCATAAAGTCGAACCGTTGAAGTTTTCTCTCAATTTCTAGCGCAACATCTCGCAACTCCTCGGCTCGGAAGGCACGCCCGGCGAATCCCCGACTAAGCGGCGAGGACTTACGAGCAAGCGCATGGGGCATTATGGCATGCGGCGTTACAGCGCAATTACGCTGAATTACAGCGTACTTATTCGCCGATTCGCTGCCGGCGGGTTTAAGTGCGCAAGTGAAAGGGGAAGGTGCGTGCATACGGCACGATGACGGAAGGCACCAAACAAACAACACAAGAAGTAAATCTGGGGAAGGGCCGTCCTTGCCGTGTCAGCAGAAAAGGTCAGCGACTGATTCGATACTTAAGCAGCCCAGTTCTCCTCGTCTTTGCCTCTCACGAGATAATTCACGACACACGAAGGACGGATACATCGTCGACATAACAGACCACTAATATGACACTATTGCGTGCCTTTTGCCGCGCTCCCCTGCGAACAGCCACGCCGATAGCGGGCCTTACTGTTCCGCCACCCACAACGGCGTTCACACAATCTCGATTCTTCTCAGCGACATCCGCCACGATGTCTACCTCCAAAGACGGCAAAGACGGCACGGACTGGTCGGCCGACCAGTATCTCAAGTTCAATGACGAGCGCACGCGCGCTGTCCACGACCTGGTCCACCGTGTGCCCCTACCGGGCGGCCGGTTCCCCCTGTCCGACAAGAAGGGCGACACGCCCCTCCGGATCATTGACCTTGGCTGCGGCCCGGGCAACTCGACGGCTGTCCTGGCCGACCGCTTCCCCGGCGCGCAGCTGTCGGGCGTCGACTCGTCGCCCAACATGATTGCCAAGGCGCGCGCGACCCTGCCCGGCGTGGACTTTGGCCTGGCCGACCTGCGCACGTATGCGCCGGCGCCCGGTGCGGCCGACTTGCTGCTGGCCAACGCCGTGTTCCAGTGGCTCAGCCTCGCCGAGCGCCTGCCGACGGTGCTGCGCCTGTTTGCGGCGCTGCCGTCGGGCGGCGTGTTTGCGTACCAGGTGCCCGACAACAAGTCGGAGCCCACGCACCAGGCGATGCGCGAGGTGGCCCGCGGCGAGGCGCCGGGCACGTCGCCGTCGGACCCGTGGGTGGCGACGCTGCGCGGGCTGCACGACCGCGACCCGATCGAGACGCCCGAGCAGATTTACGACGCGCTGATCCCACACAGCCAGAGCGTGGACGTGTGGCACACGGTGTACAACCATGTGCTGGCGGGCGGCCCCAAGGACATTGTCGAGTGGGTGCGGGGGACGGGCCTGCAGCCGTGGGTGAATGCGCTGCCGGACGAGGCGACCAAGCAGGCGTTTGTGGCAGCATACGAGCGGCGGCTCGGCGAGCTGTACGACCGGCGGGTGGACAACAGTGTCATCATTCGCTACCCGCGGCTGTTTGTCGTGGCAGTCAAGAAGTAAAAGTAGGTGACGACGCAGAGAGTACATAATGGAACGAATAGAAACATAAGCGTTCGTTTTTGTATAGTACGGATCCATCTACACAGGCAGAGTACGGTAAGGAACGAGAGAGTAACAAACGGCAAAACAAGTAGGTGAAAAAATGGCAACGAGTAGAAACATAACCCCCCTAAGACGCCGCTGGTATGATCATTTACCGCTCCCACAGAAAACGAGAGTCGCAGGAGATGAAAAGCACAAGACGAAACGCAACAGCAGACGGGCCAATGCAGAGTCCCTCAAAACGACTCTGGCCAATCAGAAATGTCAGGGGACATTGGCACCTAGGCAGCCTCCTCCTTCACCGGCGTGTCCGTCGCGGTTTTCTCGTCTGATGTGGCTGCCGGAGCGGCCGTCTCTGCCTTGCTGCTGTTGGCAGTGGTTGCTGCCGCCTCCTTCTTGTCTTCGCTCGCGGCCTTGTCCTTGGCCTCTGCAGCCTTGGTATCGGCCTCGCCGTCCTTCTTTGCGTCAGCTCCGGCGCCAGCGCCACCATCCTTCTTCTCCGCTGCGGCTGCATCGGCCTCTTTATTGTCGCCGTTCTCCTTAGAGGCCGGAGCCGGTGTGTCGGCGGCAGCCAAGGCAGAAGCGTCAGCGGCCGTATCGTCTTTCTTGCTCTTTGCAGGCTCGTCAGTGACAGGGGCCGACTCGGCCGCAGGGGCAGCAGCAGCATCGGTTGCGTCCTTTGCGTTGTCGGCCTTGGATGCTGTCTCCTTTGCGTCCTTGGTGGCCTTGGCATCGGCAGCAGCCGGCTTGTCGCTCTCGTCCTTGGCAGCAGCCGCCTCCTTGTCCTTGGCAGTGGCCTCGGTGGTGTCGGCGGTCGTCGGCGCGTCCTTGCCAGCGGCATCGGCCTGGCCCTCGGCGGCATCGGCAGCAGGTGCTGTGGATTCAGCCTCTGCGGCAGGACCAGCAGCGTCGGCGGCGGCGTCTGTCATCTCCACATCACCGCTGTCGTCTTTCTTCCCAGACGCAACAGCAGCCGCCGCGGCAGCGGAGGCATCTGCCTCGCCATTCTCTTTTGCGGCCGGCTTGGCAGCCGTCTTTTTCTCAGCCTCGTCCCCAGCGGGTGTCTTGGTATCGCTCTCCTTGGAGCCTGATGGCGGCGAGGCCTTACCCTCGGCCGTGTTACCAGTGGCAGAAGCGGCCTTATCCTCAGTTGTGTTGCCTGTGGCAGGAGTGGTGTCAACGTCCTCCATTGCTACATCGCCGTTGTTCTGGTTCGCCTTGGGGGTCTCTGCCGACGACGCAAGAACCGCAGCAGCAGCCGACGCGGCGTCGGCCTCGTTCTTGGCTGCCTTCTCCTCGGCGTCTGCAATTATGTCGGCATCCGGAATCTCCACATCGCCGTCCTCGCCGGCCGCCGCCTTGCCAATGCCGTTTGTCGGCGTCATGGCCCCGCTGTCGACCTCATAGTCCGCATGCGGGTTGCGGTAGTCCATGATGGAGCGCCGCGGCGGGCCATCGTAGTTGACGCCGTTGGCGCGTGCCAAGTCCTCGTCGTCGCTCTCGTCGAACTCGTCCGTCCGCGCGCGGTTCTTCTCCCATTGGCGCTGGGTCACGCGCGCGTCCTTGTTCTCGTCCTCGTCGAGGTCGTCCAGCTCGGCCTCCTCCTCGTCCGTGATGCCCATGGATTGCCGAGGAATGTCCTGCATCTGAACCGAGGGCACGGGGGCCGTCTTCTTGAGGTTCTCGATGACGGCAATCTTGATCTTCTCGAGGTACTCATAGTTGTTGGCGTTTTCCATATTCGACGACCGCACATCCAGCTCGTAGTCGGGGCCGTAGTATTCGTAGTATTCGTTGTACGGCAGCACCGCGTCCATCTCGACGCCCACCAGACGGCCCGTCTCATAGGCCCACGTCCGCGCCACGTTGCGCATCGTGTAGCCGCCGCCGCCCAGCACGAGCGTCGGCAGGTTGAAGCTGCGCACAAAGTCGACGCAGTTGGAGTGGCCACGCATGCTCAAGTTGAAGCAGCCGAGGCGGTCGCCGGAGAGCGAGTCGCCGCCGCACTGCAGCACAACGGCGTCGGGCTGGTAGTACTTCATGACGGCGTCGATGACGGGCTCGAAGATGGTCTTGTACGACGTGTCGTCGATGCCGTCGCGCAGCGGGAAGTTGACGGCGTAGTTCTTGCCCGTGCCAATGCCAATGTCGCGCAGCTCGCCGGTGCCCGGGAAGTACTCGCCGTACTTGTGGAACGACACGGTCATGACGCGGTCGGTGGTGTAAAAGGCCTCCTCGACGCCGTCGCCGTGGTGCACGTCGATGTCAATGTACAGCACGCGCTTGTTGAAGCGCAGCAGCTCGATGATGGCGAGCACAATGTCGTTGACGTAGCAGAAGCCGCTAGCTTCGCTCTTCTTGGCGTGATGCAGGCCGCCGGCCCAGTTCACGGCAATGTCGCACTTGTTGCGATTGAGACGGGCGGCGCCCTCCATACTGCCGCCAGCACTGATGCCGCAAAACTCAAACAGGCCGTCGAACACGGGACAGTCGTCGCCGACATTGTACTTGCTCTGCTCGCGCTGATAGCTGTCCATGTTGTCCGGCGTGACCTTTTGCAAAAAGTCAATGTACTCGTCGGTGTGGAACTGGGTCATCTCCATAAAGACGGCGGGTTTGGCGCGCTGTGTGAAGAGACCGTTAGCGGGTGAAATACAAGACAGTGAGGCCAGAGGAGGCATGATGGGCAGGCGGCACGCACGTAGACTTCCAGAAACTTGTAGACGCCATAGTTCATGACCAGGCTGTGCGCCAGCCGGATACGGTGCGGCTTCATGGGGTGGCCCGTGACATAGGCATAGTTGCCAATGTCGGAATCGTAAAAGTACGCCACACGCTTCTTGTCGTTGTGCACGACATCGTACAGCGGCCGCGAGCGGTCGACACCAGCAGCGTCGGTGACCATCGTGAGAGAGGAAGGAAGAAGGTTGAGGAGGTCGACAAGGTCGACGGGGTTGTGGAGGCTGAGGAGGTCGAGGAGATCGACGAGGTTTTGTAGGCTGCGGAGATCGAAGACCGTCGGGGAGGCCAAAGAAAAGGAAGTCGGTGTCGAGAAACACAAAAAAAAACAGGCCGGGTCAAAACGATACGGACAAAAGGCAAAAGACGTCTTGCTCCAATTGGGAGACAAGAAAACGGCACCGGGGAGTCAACACAACAGGCGTGTTGAGGTGGAAGTAAAAAAGCTGAGAAGACGGAGAGGAGAAACAGACGATGGAGAGAGCACACTTTTGTGCTTCGAGCAGTCAGTTGTCGGCTTCCCTCGCTCCTGCACCAGCGCGCATCCACAGGTTTGGCGGGCGCTCTTTCCCAATTGCCCCATGCAAGCTAGCCGTACGTGGATTAGCGCCTCCAGCCGTGCAAAGCACCTGCATCATAGCTCCGCTTCAGGGTTGCCAGCCTCCAGAATAAGGCGGTTTACATAAGCAGCACGTGACCACAATTGAGCTCTGGTAGTTTTGCCGCACGCCACCGCCCAGTGGGACGCGGGCAAAGCTCCAGGCTGCGCAAGGTTGGCGTAACTGGGGGCGGCCTTGCACTGCTAAGCAAACAGCAAGGGACAGCCGCCGCCGGACAAATCACAAATAGCACGCACACATCACCACTTCGCACCACCCCATCATATTGGCGTCGACGTGTCTGTCTGATTGTCAATTGCGCACCTGCTTCTCGATCGTATCCGCATCCCGGCGTCTTCTTCGTCTCGCCTCCACTCCCCGCCTCTCGACGCACACCATGGACCGCCTTCGGTCAATGTTCTCGGGCCAGGGCCTGTCCGGCCTGGGCTCGCAGCCGAGCTCGGTGAGTCTTTTTGCGGGATGTGAAGCGCACGTTCTTTTGTGGAACGAGATCGAACTGACAGGGTGGCTTTTCCCCAGGACAACACGAACCTCATCGACAACTCCGAGACGGTGTACATCTCCTCGCTCGCGCTGCTCAAGATGCTGCGCCACGGCCGCGCCGGCGTGCCCATGGAGGTCATGGGTCTGATGCTGGGCGAGTTCGTCGACGACTTTACGGTGCGCGTCGTGGACGTGTTTGCGATGCCGCAGAGCGGCACGGGCGTCAGCGTCGAGGCCGTCGACCCCGTCTTCCAGACCAAGATGATGGAGATGCTGCGCCAGACCGGCCGGCCCGAATCGGTCGTGGGCTGGTACCACTCGCACCCCGGCTTCGGCTGCTGGCTGTCTTCGGTGGATATCAACACGCAGCAGTCGTTTGAGCAGCTGACACCGCGGTCGGTGGCCGTCGTGATCGACCCCATCCAGTCGGTCAAGGGCAAGGTCGTCATTGACGCGTTCCGGTCTATCTCGCCGCAGACGCTCATCATGGGCCAGGAGCCGCGGCAGAGCACGAGCAACCTGGGCCACCTCAACAAGCCGTCGATCCAGGCCCTGATCCACGGCCTCAACCGCCACTACTACTCGATCGGCATCAACTACCGCAAGACCGCGCTGGAGGAGAACATGCTGATGAACCTGCACAAGCAGCCGTGGACGGAGGCGCTGCAGATGGAGGACTTTCGCGTGGCGGGCGAGCACAACAAGGACCGGCTGCAGCGGCTGGTGGGCCTCGCGGAGGGCTACGAGAAGCGCGTCAAGGAGGAGACTGAGCTGACCAAGGAGCAGCTCAAGACGCGCTACGTGGGCAAGCTGGACCCCAAGAAGCACCTGGAGGACGTGGGCCAGCAGCTGATTGAGGACAATATTGTGGCCGTGTCGCGGCAGATGATTGACAAGGAGACGACGATGCCGCGGAAAGAGGGCGCGGTGGACGGCGAGAGCGCAGCGGACGACGAGATGGACGTTGAGGACGAGTTATGAACGATAGACGAACGCGGCAGGAGGCGGACAGCATGAGGTTTTTAACGGGCTCGCAAACTTGCTGGAAAGCATATGGTAGACAACTCGAAATGCATTGCATGTTTTCTTTTCTTTCTTATTTTTCCCCCCCTCCATTCCTACCTGTTCTATTCCACATACTCGCGACCCCGTCACAAAAAGCAACAGCAGGCGGCCATGTACGGGTAGGCGTTAGGCTAGACAACAATATGCGCATGTGCGATCCAATCCAAGACGCGATAGTGCGAATTGCATCTCTGTCATGAATGGCGATTGATGTAGATTCTACCGTCTTTGTTCGATGTCGATGTCCATACAAAGCGTTGTGCTGCTCCTGCCAAACGAAGAGCCCTTTGTTCACGTCAACCATCGTCTTGTTCAGTGCGGGCAGGCACAACGCGCAACCTCCTTTGTTCCTTCCACAAACCATGGCGATTGTTCAGAAACGAACAACAGTTGGGGAAAGTGCTACGATGATATAAAAGCGTGTGACCGGCCGCATTTCTCTGCTTGTTCTTCCTCATCCCTCAACTTCATCCACGGCCACGCTGTCTTCTCTGCTCACACTGCTGCAGTCCTTCCCATCCCCAGCCACAACCTGCAGCCGTCATCACGCAGAAAGCCGTCGATTTCCGGTCCCTTCTCACTTACCATCTCACCCTCAAACCACCATACGCAACACAATGGGCTTTCGCTCGACCCTTTGCGAGCTTGGAAGGCGGCTGCTGGCAGCGCGTTTCAACCCGCAGACCATCGTTGAGCAAGGTCGCGGCGACTACAGGTACAGGTCTGGTCATACTCAGGCCCGGCCATACACACATTCCTCTTCCCACGCTCATGTACACGCGTGCCGGGTCTGCGCCGTGCAGCAGGCCGCTCGCATGAGTGAGAAGCTCGTATGCAACTCCCATCGAGTGCACCAGCTCACATCCCGGCCACTGCCTCCTCTGCCCACCAGTCGTCCCTTGCCACCCCTTCCCGACATCCCCCGGTCTCCGGCACCGTCTACTCTTTACCGAAAACGTCCGTATCATTCTTCTGTGCAGCTGCGGGACAGCTACGAGAGCTTTGATACGAGCAACGGCACCGTTTCGCAATCAAACGACACGAGTTCCTCGGCCACTTCCTCGACCTCCGGTTCTCTCTCCGTCCAGGTCTCTCCGATGCGTGCCCACTACCACTCACTTGCTCGCTTAGTGCTTGGTCTCCAGACGGCCCTTCAACACGTTCGCTACGCCATCAGCGGCCCTCTTGCTCTTCGCCTCTACGACCCCTTGTGGTGCATCGATGTAGGCGACTCGCTGGACGGAGCAGATTCGGTCTGCCAGCCTTCCATTGTGTGCCCCTTGGCCACCCGTGACGTCTTGCCGTCCTGGGCCGCTGTCTCTCAAAATGCCTTTCGATTTGACCGTCGCAGGCCTCAGACCCTGCAGCTGCAGGTCGACGGGCAATTTGTGACGGTCAATATTGAGTGGGTGAATGACCACGAGTTTGACAGCGGCGAAGATTCGTTCTACCAAATCGACCGCACGGAGGGCTCATACTGTTTTAGGAACGAGGAAAGCACGTGTGGTGGCCCGTACGGGACGCTCGGCTTGCTCGAAACGGCGCCTCCTGTTCTCAGCCTCGCCAGTCTGCTACAACACACAGCACAGGCATACACACGCAGTGGTGCTGTATATGCGGCCTCCAAGGATTCTATGGAACACAAGGTTCTCGGACGTCAGGTCAACGCCTGTCTCCGGCTCCTGGGCAGCGGCACGACACTTGGCCGCCAGTTCTTGATGCCTCACGAAGTTCCCGCTGTCTACGATCCAGCATTCTCGAGCATGTATTACGCAGAGTTTGGTGCCGAGGGTGTCCAACGGCTGCATGCTGTCTGCGCCGGAATCCCACCCGTTGGTGCGTCTCAGAAATGCGCACGTTCGACACCTGCGTCCGCGAAACACAGTATTGCCCGTAAACCTCTACCATCGACTAGTCGACACAAATTGAGTACAGCTGGTGCCTCTGAAAGGACTGCGGATCACAGAGGGCCGTAACTGTATCGAAGTGAGTAATTGGTACTGGAATACGATATGCAAGGTTGTGTGACATTTAGTCCAGAAGTATACCTTGCCAAAGACGTGTTTAGCAGCACAAAACCATATCGTTTTAATATTTATTTGAAATGTTAATAGGTGAACATCTATCAAAATACATATATCTACCATTCAAACCATTCTATATTACAAGTTTTGTCATCATATCATACACAACATTCACATATCCAGCAGCCCCGGTACAAAGGCTTACCATCGTCCTGGACCAGGGGGAACGTTCCAGCCGCCTCCTGATAGCTCTTGTTGTAATGCCGGCATCATTCTGTTGTCCATCTCGGCGGCACACTGCATCAATATCTTGTAGCAGCGTGCTAGTTGCGCATCGACGCTGCCAAACAACATTTCACAGGCATCCTCGGCGGCACCCTCAACGACAATTCCTGTTGCCGTATCGACGATTTCGCCGTTGTCACCACTGTCGACTGCATCCACCATATCGGATGCATCTTCAATATCACCAGCCATTGTGATGAGGTGAGTGAAGGATACACTTTCCATCTCGCCGTGGAGGGTGCCCAGGTTGTTTGTGGCCGCGGCCATCCACCCTTGGAGGGCCAAATTGAGACCCTGCGAAGGGAGTGCTGTTGTGTGAGCGAGCAGACTGCCGATGGCCAGGCCCTGAGCACCGAGGTGGTCGCACAGCTTCTGCAGCCGCTTGAACCACTTCTTCTCAAAAATAACCAGGATCGCGCCGTCGCCATACTTGTCCAGGCCGTTGAAGACACGGGAACGAGCTGTCTCGAGCCGGCTCAGGTTGTCTAGGAGAACCGGTAGGTGGACAGGATAAGAAGCAGCAGTCAGGGATATCTTTGGTGAATCTCCCGTGCCGAATCCGCCACCTGCATCATCCGGTCCGCCTAAGCCGCCCATGTCCTCACTGCCCCCATAGTCGTTTCCGCTCCTGTTCCCGTTGCCATATTCGCATCCACTGTCGAGACCAAGGACCGTCGTCCATTTGTTCTTTCGATCGCCTCGAAGGCCGCCCGACCAGCCAAGGCCACCGGTGCCCATCTTGGAGCCCAAGCGCGATCTGCCGGAACTGAGAGAGTCGGAGCCGAGATCCGAATTGGTGCCGGGTCCGAGGTCATATGTGCCTAAGCCCATGCCGCAGTCTTTTTTTGGGTGGAAGGTCATTTTGAGGCTTGTATGAAGAGAAGAGGGGAAAAGGTTGATCGAGAGTCTTGTAAGTCAACATGAATGAAAAAAGAAAAGAAAATGTTCAGTTTCCACGCCTAATCATCTCTGAACATCTCAACCTTAAATGATACCACGTTTTAATCTTATAGCTCTTTGAAGGTTCTCATTCTGAAATTATTACCCGATTTGGCCAAATGCTGCGCTGCTGCGCCATGTGGTCAGCGACGTTCTTTGTCCCGGCAGGGCATAAGCACCTTACATCATATACGCGGCAGTGACAACCAGTTTTAGGGTGGAGGCTGATGCTGATGCACATCTTGGCGTATTAGGCAAACCGACCAACGACACAAAGCCATCGACAATGGCTCGAATGGCTATGCATCGGGTCGTTGGGTAGACAATACGAGATAGCTTACTTACAATGAGAAATTGTCTAACGGTACATAAAAAAATGAATAAAAACGCCCGAGAAATAAAGAAACACCAAAAAGAGAACAATTCTCAACGCCTTTGTGATATCCGTCAAAGGAACAAATAAACCAGGCATGTTACTCCGTCGATAACTAGGCAACGAGCTAAAAGCCATGCAGATGGCAAAGATCCCAAATATGGCTTGGATTCATTACTGTTCACGATATCTGAAGCACAAAGACATTGACATTTGGATTTTATTAAGTTTGTATTGCCTAATATATCGCGTCGCGATGCGATACTGGATGAGCGTTGGCTCTTTCCATTCCTGGCAAAAGCATCACACCAGAGAGAGTGACGCCTAACTACCGTCGTGACTTCCCAGTTTGTTGTTGTGTCTCTCGCCAGCCGCTCCTTCCCTCGTCTCTATTCTCCTGCCGGTTCAGGAAAGACGTTCAACTACCAGTCCTCCTTCCCCCCTAAGTTTACCCCTGAGTCGTTTGGCCTCAATTTGCCTTTTGTATTGCTCTTCGGCTTTGCAGTCCAATCCGGTCAAAGAGATGCTCTGCAAGCTATCTTCTCTCCTTGGACTCAACTGACTCGACTTGACACCTTACCCTTATCCACGGCACTGTCAATTGTATCACCATGGCTGTACCTCTGTCTTCGGTCGACGAGGCACTTTTGCCTGGCCACATGTGTTACCTGCTCGAGTATGAACCACCAAGCAAAGAGGCTGACTCGCCGTCACGGTTGGCGCCGGCGATAGCACCTTTGACATCGGAGAACCTTTCTTTGAGAGAATCAAGCCGGCAGGCAGGAGACTCTGCACCCTCAGACCTACCACACAACATCCCAACCTCCGTCACGTCGTCGCGCACACTCTCTGCATCCCATTGCTCACTTACGTCAGAAACGCAAGAAAAGGACGACGTGCCGTTTTACTTCTAGAGGGACAAACGCATCGCCAATCTTGCCACTCTTCGCGACCAGGCTCACTCGCCCCTGATTCAATATGAGTATGTGGCCGTTGATGTCAAGGGACACGGCCAAGACAATAGCACCCACATCGACGAGGCCAGAGTCTCACATATTGGCCTTGCCTATATGCCGTCGAACATCCCTCCTGCAGCGGACCTCACCCTCACGATCCACGGGAATGGCAGCACCAAAACGACACATAACATTGCGTCTCATGACTGGCGCCGGCTGCAGGAGGTAGACCTTGACGATGTCGTCGCCCAATACGGTATCAGAGCAGCCAGTACAAGGCTCAGCGACCGCATGGACCACAAGACGCGAGAGCAATTTCGATATGGGGAAAAGGGCATGACAACCACGACGGACTGTCTGGCACAACATCTCGGGCAAAACCTCAACTCTTTTGTTGCCAGGGGAAGAGAATGGCACAAACACGGAACGCAAGCCCAAGGCAGGGTAGAGCAAACTCTCCAGACTCAGCTGCCATTGTCGCCGAACGGCTGGCGTGCACCAACTATATTTGATCTCGGTGCGCCTGCGATCGAGACGGAGAAACGCCCGTCGCCGCACGACAAACCATGGCAGCAGATCGTTTCACGAAAGGGCCCCTCCATGAGGCTCTACCTTGCAAATGTGCAAGGCGACATTGAGAGGCGCATGCTACAGCAGTACAGAATTCAGTCTTTGCTATTTCCTGAAGCATGGGCTGATTCCCTTGGCCAACACAACTTTGAACGTCTGACGAAGCGCCGTGAGCCTTTTCGACAGGACCTCGTCGATATGACACACTCTCGTAAGCCTGCCAATGATTCTTGGACCACTTCGGAAACAACCGCGCCATCAAAAGGCCACAGCAAGGCCACTTCGCCCGCAATTGGAAAGCAAAACAGGCGTATCTTGGTCGTTTGGGGTGTCACAAACAATCGTCCAACACTTGACCGACTGGCCCCTGGCTTCCTGCAGCAGTTCCATGGTTGGGTCGACCTCCAAGAAGTCGCCACACCTCTACTCTTGGCCGCATCCGGATACAGATTTGGTCAAAATAAGGCCACCATGCCATTGCTTGATGCTTTGCGGTTCGTGGGCTTTCGGCCTGGCTATTCTTTGCAAAGACGCAGCCACGCCTTTGCAGACCGCGCTTCACGGGACCCGGGTATGGATGCCGTGCGTACGCTCGGTGCCCTCGCACGCATCGTGGCTTACCCAGCTAGCATTTTCAGTCAGCTGGAGAAGGAGACTCGAGACACACTCAATCGCTGCTACCGCCAACAAGGCTTCTATTTGTCCGAAAGCGTGTACCCCTGCGCCATATTTGTTTACGGGACCCGCAAACTGCCCAAACGCAGCAAACACCCGTGGGTTTTTGCCGGCGTTCCAAAAGCATTGCAAGACACAGAGAACATGCTCAAGCTGCTGCGGGACCACGGTCTTGCCGAGCCGGTCGTTTTGGCTGTAGGAGGCGAGCGCCGTCCGACTCGATTGAAGCAAAATCAGATTTGCATGTACTACGACACGATGCAACAGATTAACGCAGCCGTTGCTGCCCTCAACGGTCTCATGGTCGGCGGTGTCCGGCTTCAGGCGACGCTTCTCTGGCACCCAGACCCGGCCTGGTCCTGCGCGTATTCACAGGTGTCGACAACGCAAGCAGTGCCGCTCAGAGACACTACGTTGAAAATAGAGGCAAGCGAAGAGGCCCAGAAATGACAAACCGGACTGCAGATGGAAAGGTGCGGGTGCCATTGGCAGTGGACACGCAAGCAAGAGAGTTACGCAAACGTGGAAGGCGATGGCATATATAGTTTGATTGAAAAAGGAAGAGACTAGTGCAAAATTCAAGAGGCACATATCATAACGCCCTAAACGCTGCTATGCCAATGCAAGTGACAGAATCAAAAAGAAACGAAAGAAATAAATGGTAATACCGTGAACAGACAACAGTTCATACCCTATGTCCGCCAAAGAAGAGAAATAGAAAATACGAGAGAAAAAAGAAAACAAAGCGCGAAGCAAAGCCATATCATGTAGTGCCGAAAACAGAACATAAAATCGCAAACCAAAAATCATGCACGGGTGGAATCGTCCTATGCAACGGGTGCAGCCGGCTTCGCGCCGCGGCGGCCAAGCAGCGTCGCGCCGTCAAGGTTCAGTTCGAAAGCGCCCTTTTGCCGGTTGTGGTCGCGCACTTGCTGGCGGGCGGCGGCGGCCACGGTGGCCGAGTGCTGGCCGTAGCCGCGCTCGTTTGTGGCAGCCGCCGGCTGCTGACGTTCCCGCTCGCGGCCGCGCCTCTGTTCGGGTTGGTCGCCGCCAATGTTCGCATTACGCATACCATGTTCGAGGTCTTGGGTGCCGGCGTTGCCGTTGTTGGCGTGCGCCGCCGCCATCTTGCTGCTGTAGTGGGCGTAGTTTTGGTCACTGACACCGCTGTTGCCACCGCTGCTGCCCTCCTTGGTAGAGCCAGACGAGTTGGACAGGTTTGCAGTCGACGCCGCGGACGATGACTCCTCGTCGGCCTCGGTCAGCTCCACCATGCGCGCAACACCGGGGGTGCGGGCGCCGATGTTCTTGCGGCGCTTGTCCTCCTCCTCTTGGCGGTGGACAGCATACCCGACATCAAAGACCTCGCGCAGGTTGACGGCACCGGGGGAGCGGAAATCGCCGCGGCGATCGCCGTCGACAACCCGGGACATGTCGAAAGCCTTGGCCGCAGTACCGTCCGCACCGACGGCCTTCTCGTCGCGGGGCGTCGGACCAGAGCCGCGAATCCAAGGGTGTTTCATGAATTCCACGATGGTGTAGCGGCGTTCCGGGTTGACGTCGAGGAGGTGGCTGATCAGGTCCTGTGCAGACTTGGAAATGTCATCCCACCAAGGTGACAAAAACGTGAACTGGCCCTTGGCCACTTTCTCCGTAAGAACTTCGATGCTCTCGTCGTAGAAGGGTGGAAAACCGCACAACAGGGTGTAGAGGACGCAGCCGAGGGCCCACATGTCAACGGACTTGGAGTACATCTCATCCTTGACAATTTCCGGGGCAGTGTATCCAACGGTGCCGCAAGGTGTTGTGGTGTTCGTCTCCCAAATGACTTTTGAGAGGCCGAAATCGGCAATCTTGATCTGGCCAATGCCGCCCGCGCCCTGGCCAGGAACGAATTCACCCTCGTCGACCTTGTCCTCGTCGCCCGCCTGCCTCGGCTTAGGATGCTTGGCGGGGACAAAGGGTACTGGGTAAAAGAGGATGTTCTCGGGTTTGATATCTCTGAACTGGGAGTTAGCTGCTGGTCCTCGCAATTAGGAAGAAATGCGAATCGAGAGGTCGAAAGGAGCGTACCGATGGACAACACCCTGCTCTTCATGCAGGTATTCCAGGGCCTTGGCAACCTGGACAATGACGTGGCGAGACAGTTCCTCGCTGAAGTAGGTAAGCTTTACGATCTGGTGGAAAAGCTCGCCACCAGGGGCCAGTTCGAGCACAATGTAGTAGTACTGCTTGGCTTCAGAGAACTCAAGAAGGCGGACGATGTTGGGATGGTCGAGTTTGCGCATAATGGTCACCTCTTTGAGGATATTTGCGCGCTAGTTGCGGGTTAGAATATAAGGCAAAAAGTGGTGAAAGCCATACGAGATGAAAGTAAAGTATTGGTAGGGAAACGGAGTGGGAATTCACTCGGACACCGCAGAAATGAAAAGACTGGTGGGAAACGAAGGGACAAAGAGAAGAGGAGGAAGGATCAAGGGAAGCGAAGATAGGAGTTGAAGGGAAGAAGAGTATAGGCAAAAGACAGGCAATGAAGACATCGAGACATGCGGAGGAATACAAGCGTGATGAGGAAGCGATACAGGGGAGAATATAAACGAGAAAGGAGGAGGAAAGAGAACAGACGTTGAGAAGTCAAGAAACATCACGGCGGAGAAAACAATACAAAGGAAAAGTAAATGGGAGTTCCTACCTCTGCAGCCTTGGGCACTTTCGGCTTGAATTTCGGATGGATGTGTTTGTCTCCCTATGTTGGCGAAAATTGGCGTTGGCGAACGATCCGAGGCGGAGAAATGAAAAAATAGAGACAAAAAAAAAAGCAAGAATACAGAAACAAAAACAACGCGAGGCGAACAGCAAGAATCAAAACACCCGCAAAAGTCTCGAGATTAAAAAAACGCATGCTAACACGTTTTTTTATTTGTCTTTTGCCTGTTTTTTGTCCCCCTTTGCGTTGGCTCGTTGCTACGACGCAGCCAAACATATGCATGGGACGCATATGCGGGATCCTCGAGCACAACTTGCTCGGGCGAGAGAAACGAAAAACCAAAACAGAAACGAAAGCGAAAACGCAACGGAACAATCGAAAAATGCACGAACCTGTGTGACATTCATCTCGTACTTGCGAACGACTTTGATGGCGACGTCATCGGGATAGGCGCCGGTGCGGTCGCGTGCGCGGTAGACGTTGCTGAAGGCACCGTCGCCCATCTTCTCGATGAGCTCCCAGCGCTCAAGGCCGGGATAGCGGGGAAACCTGCTGCGGCCCTCGCGCTCCTCGGCGACAAGCTTGGCGATCTCGTCATCAGCAACGCGCCGGCTCTTGGTCTTGGTGATAGGCGCCATCTCCGGCTCCTCGTCGAGCACGGCGGCGGGGACGGTGCGCGTGGTACGACCTGGGTCGGAGACAGCGTGGTGGGTTGTGGGTTGCTGGGTTGTCGTGGCCAAGGTCGGGCTCAGCTGCTGGGGTGGTGAATTCCGCGACGAGGGCTCCTTACGCGCCGTCGTTTCGTCCACAACGCGGGCTTGCTTGCCTGTGACGGTTGGAAGCGGTTAGACGATCAAGGACGAGATCGATCACAGCAGAGGAAACGGCAGTTGCTCACCATGGCGGATGAAGTTTTTGAGTTGTTGTATTGTCGACATTTCGACGGGTTTAGTTGTCTAGATAATTGGTAGAGGAGGAAGAGGGTGAATAGAAGAAGTGAGAGCGAAGCTGGGAAAAAGACACAAATAAGGGTCAGCCAATGTCGATGTCGATGCCACAAAAAAAAAAAAAAAAAAAAAAAAAAAAAAAACGTAAAGCACTGCTCGAGTTTGCGACCTACCCCTACGGCCGATGGAGAATGAGTCAAGACGAGACGTGTCGCTGTGTTCTAGCACACATCACTTGGGCGGGAAAGCGAACAGGCGCTGACGCTGGCGATGCTGTGACGAACAATGAAGTGTTGGCTGGAAAGCTACCGAAGGCGCTGAATGAGGCGGGGGGATGGAATCTAGGGACAGAGGCGGGCGCTGCAAAGGTGCGTAGGAGGAAGAAAACTTCACGATCGTGGTGGATGACTACTGGCGGTCGTAGAGAGTACGTCAAGAGAGGCGAGGTGTGGATGGCAGGTGAAGTCAAAGAAGAGACGGAGATGTCGAGCAAAGCGAAGATAACAGAGGAGGAATAGGAGAGGAGCAGGAGAGGAAAGAGGGAAAAGTCTTGGAAAGGAAACGGCGCAGGAACTAAGGGGATTAATAAGGCTCGCTGGACAGAAGCGAACGGGGAAGGCGCGACAGGTAAGATAGCAGACGCGGGAGGCGCACTTTTAGTGTGACGCCTTGGAACGGCTGTCTTTGAGATGCGTTCCAGATTCTTGAGATTCTTGAGATTCTTTGAGATTCTTGATTTGGATGATGAGAGGGAGAGATATGGCGTAATTTGTCTGGGGATCAAGGCTGTGAGAAAAGGCAAACCATGACGGCAGAAGAGTAGGATTGGGGGGAAGAGAGAAAATGAGAAAAAATGAGAGACGCAGACAAAAAAAGAAGCACCGGAGCGAAGAGCCAAGCGAGGTAAGTTACAGGGCCTTTGGGGGAGTTATAGCGGGGTAAAAAGCGAAAAACTGTACTAAGATGCCCTGTAGGCTGACGAAATGGCGGACGGATTAGGCAAGCGAAAACACTGCCTGTTTCTCACGAAGCAGTCAGCGCCAGGAACAAGGCAGGAGCGCGGTATTACGAGGAAGAAAATGGAAGGCAAGCACGGCCGAGAAGGCAAGAAACGACAAAAATGGGAAAGAGCAAGGGGATCCGCAAGATTGTCACGCCTTTCTCTCTGTCCTTATCCCCCCCTTTGGTTTCCCTCGAAAGACGGAAACTAGCCAAGCGACACGTTCCCGGTTTGCAAGCCAAAGTTGGATATACTAAAACGATGGGAAGGGGGCCCACTGACAAATTGGAAAGCGCGAGATGACAGGACTAAAAGTAACAAGACGCCGCGGAAGAAACGACGTATGTCATAATGACTTGGAGAAGACAGCAGACAAGGAACGGGCCAGGCAATGACACCGCCGAAGACGAGTAAATACGAGGGCCGTTGGTCTCAGGAGACATTGAATTTTCAATGTGTGAGAAGTCCTTCGACGGGGGGGAGGGAATCAACATTCGATTCTGGTGCCGGTCGCTGCCCCTAGCGAGTCTGGTAAAACACGGAGAACGAAAAAAGGGAAAACGAGGGAATAGAAAACGAAGAGAAGAAATGACGTAGTATGCATCGAATCTTGGATGGCAGCGTCATTGCCCAGTTTTTTATGCGGGTGTTGTGGGCTGTGGTGGGCTGTGGTGGGCTGTGGGACGGTGGCTAGGGTGGGTATGTTCCTAATTTTTATGGGTCTGTGTCCGTTGAAAATTATGGCAAACTGAGCCCAGTGAGCCCACCTCTGCTCGCTCTGCAACCTGCCGACATTGAGCGACCTGCAGACATCTGACTTTCCGCAGGGACCAGTCACAGGGGTAACTTGGTTGGAGCATCTGGTTGGTCGGGGTGTCAACCATCAGCACAACGCACTGATACTCCCTGGAACATGCTGAGAAATGCTTTTGGTGCCCTGTACAATACCATGCTACAGCGCGGCTACAGCGCCGTTACAGCGTCGACACGTCGTAATTACAGCGACGCTGGGCCCTCGGCATTTGCGTGCACATCGAGTGCCTGTCCTCAAAATGCCCGAGCGAACGGTCGCCATGGTCATGAGCGAGAGGAGATCCCCGAGATAAGGTTGACGCTGGCGTGGGGACCCTGCAACGTCTCAGCGCCCTCCAGGCCAAGATGCGTGCCTGGGGCTTCTGCTCGGTTTGATTTTCCTCTTTTCCTGGGCCACATATGCCGTGCACCGTTTTGCTGGCGGTCCGTCTGCCTCGACTGACGTCGTATTGAGTCAACACGCTGTGCGACGTGCATCATGGCATCGCCTTCAGCCCTTCTAAGGGAACTAACTGCCTGGCAATGTCGTGATAGACTTCTTCACCTTGACGAAACGCAGTGACGGTCCGGCGGGCATTCTCAGAAGGCAACTTTAGATGCCATGTTGCACATTGCGATTTCCATCGCGGATGCTGACGTCGACGATGCTGCAAATGTCTTGCCGTCGATCCATGCTCCTTCTGGAGATTGTCCCGGCTCCGCGGGCGCTGCAAGGATCTTTCAGCCTCTACGACATGTCTGTACTCGGCGCATCTACTGTGCAGCAAACGAAAAGGAACGAGGAGGGGAGCGGAGGGGCTCGAGGGATGACAAAATAAAATGAATTCATCATGCCCTCATGCCCAGGCATGTTGTAAAGGGCCCCCGTGGCCCCGGAGCATATTTTGGTGGAGACGCGGCTGTCGTGCAGTGAACAATGACGTCAGTACTGAAACCATGGCCACTGCACCAGACGCCGCCCAACGGCTCCCTTTTGCCGTGCCGCCTGAGCGTGCTTGGGATGGCAAGACAAGGCGACACAAATGAAGAGACGACAGCTGGAAAGGTCGAGACAACATCGGAGACAAGAGGCAAAAAGGCTGGCATGCGCATTCTCAGGACCGCTAGAAAATCGTAAAACGGGCAAATTACGGTGCTGCCAGATTGGCAAATCAAGAAATTTGTAAATATACAAGCGTGAGCGTGTTGACTGCAGGACGACAGATTAAAGTACAATGTATTGCGTGTTTCTCCCTTCGGTCCACTTTAGTGGATGTCTTGACAATGTACGTCGTAGATTTCAAAATATTAGAAAATACATCGTACAAACGCCTGTAACATCATTTTGTACAACTCTGTTCAACTGGACGCCGCTGCCAACTTCCAATCACTGGCTGTTTACGTCTGTGTTTGTTCGTGTTCTTTCTTTTTGTTTTTCACCCCACTCTTTTTCTCGTGTCTACCCCTGAGCCAACAGACAGCCGCTCACATAGCGTGATACGCCGTCGTCTACTGGTGTAAAGACGGTCCGCTGGTGGGAAAGGCGGATCTCAGGTTTGGGTATTTGGTTTTTTTTTCTTGAGGCTCTGCCTCGTGCCGCTCACTTCTTATACACCTGCTTGCCACCGTACCATGTCTCCTCAATCACCGCGCCCAACAGTTTGGACGCGTCCCAGGCCATGTCCACCACGGCAAAGTCGGCCGTCTTGCCCGGTGCGAGCGAGCCCGTCTCGCCGTCCGCAAACACAGAGTAGGCCGCACCGCGCGTCGCCGCCGTCACCGCCTGGCACAACGTCAGAGAAAAGTGCGGGTTGACCGCGCCCAGGTCGGCGGCATCCGGCTCCCGGGCCGACCGCCGCGTGGTCGCAATGTATGCATTGGCCAGCGGCTCGCGCGGCGCCGTGGGTGCGTCCGTGCCAATCGCCAGCGGCGCGCCCGCGTCTTGGAACGCGCGGTAGGCAAACGCGCGGCCGCAGCGGTGCTCGCCAAGCAGGCGCGGCCACGCGCGCAGGATGGCCGGGTCGGCGTGCACCGGCTGGACGCTGGCGGTGATGCCGAGCGCACCGAGGCGGACGGCGTCCGCGTGCGAGGCAAGCTCCAGGTGCTCGATGCGCGGGCGCAGCGTCTTCTGGCCGGCGAACTGGGCAATGGTGTCGACCGCCATGGCAATCGCCTTGTCGCCAATCGCATGCAGGGCCACCTGCAGGCCGCCCGCCGTGGCACGCTCCACGACGGGCGCCACCATCTCGGGCGACCAGATGGGGTCCGCGGCCGTGCGCGCAGAGTCGCCGTAGGGCTCGGTCAGTGCCGCTGTGCAGGCGTCGACGATGCCGTCGCACACGACCTTGATGCCGACGACGCGCAGCGACGGCAGCGTCTCGCCGCTGCGGCCGGCGGCGCCGTTGTGGATCTTGGCGAGTGCAATGGCGCGGTCGACCTGCGCCAGGTGCTCCGCCTCGGAGTCGCGCGGCTTGATGAGCCAGTACGCCGCGATGCGGATGGGCCGGCGCTTGTCGGGCCGTGTGGCCACGTAGTGGATCATGGCCTCGAGCGACTCTTCTTGCAGGGCCATGTCCACGACGCCCGTGTAGCCCTGCGCCGAGTAGACGTCGACGGCGGACGCGACCGCATCGGTGCGCTCCTGCAGCGTGGCCACAGTGGACAGGTACGGCCACACCAGGTCAAAGACGGCCGCCTCACTCAGCAAGCCCGAGGGCCGCTTGGTACCGGCGTGGCGGTGGATCGTGCCGCCCTTGATCACCTTGTCCAAGTCGTCGTAGATGCCCAGGTCCTTGAGCGCCGCCGTGTTGCACCACGTCGCGTGCAGGTCCTTGCTCTCAATATAGATGGGCCGCGGGTCCAGGTCGTCAATCATGTCTGCCGTCACCTCGCCGGGCGTCATGGAGAACATCCAGTTGCGACACAGGATGCGCGGGACATTGGGATTTGCCACGGCGTAGTCCTTGATGAGCGTGCGGATGTCCTCAATGTTGTGGCAGCCCTCGAGCGGCACCTTGTTGAGAGAGTAGCCGAGCGCGAGAAGGTGGACATGGCCGTCGACGAAGCCAGGAAGCACTGTACGTCCGCCGAGGTCGTGCACCGTTGCGGAGCCGCCAGCCTTGGCCTCCTGGACGGGCGAGTCGGCCTCGCTGCCGACATGTCGCACCACACCGTCCTGAACAACCATGGCACTGTGGAAGACGGCATCGTCGTCGGGGCCGGCGCCCGACTGGAAGACCTTGCCGTTGACAAAGACTGTAGACATTGTGGCATGGAAAGGTAGCGGTAGCAGGTGGGACGGGCGGAGATGGGGTTGCAGATGTCGGAGTGGTTGCGAGAGGATCAAGAGGATGCGAGGTTTCGAAAGTGCTCCTGCCTCGAGTAAGCCGCGGCAATCGTGTAGCTTCCTCGTCTTCCGAGATTCTAAAAACAGAAAGAGCGACGCAGTCGGTATTTTATGCCGATGTGGCACTTGCGATGCCGCTCCTTCCCCCGCCAACGACTTACCCTACGACGCCAAAAGAGAGAAGTCAACCGCGCCAAAATCGCCAAAATCGCCAAATCACCAAAAACCACCGCATTAAGCTATCGACCTTCCCAGAGGGGACTAACACGCGGACGACTCCGCACAACTGATAGCTTGCCGCTGGGGTATCGGCACAAATGCAGCACATTGGGGGTTCACTGGTAGCAAGCTGATGCAGACTTGCTGCAGGGACATTGTTGCCACAGCACTGCATTCGCGGTCATTGGCGACATAAGGGAGAGGAAATGGAGAGGCGAACAGAAGATGCAGCGCCTCAGTCGGCCAGAGATTCGATTCAAACAATCTGATAGCAAGCGGAATCCAGCCGCCCGCTTAGCTATCGCTCCTCCTCCGCAAAGTGCCAGCAATTGTGTGTTGATCTAACCATTCTGGTAGTCGGCCGTTGGAACTTTAAACGGACGCAGGAACTGCACATCGTGCAATGCGGCGAATATAAACTACTTTTCAGCTTCACGTCATATATGATGGTCCCTTCGTCGTTCGATTCGCAGAAGAATGAACGCCTGGAAACTCAAAAATACGAGACTGCGTAAACCAGCCACCAAAACCAACAGCATATCTCGATGTTCAAGACTGCCGACGGCACGTCTACCATAGGCATTGCTCCGTACCATTTAAAAAGCGAGGACTAAACCCCGGGGTACCTTAAACACGTGTTCGGGAAAGGAGCAGGGAAGAAATATGGCGACGAAGAGCGCACCCTGCCGCCATCTGTATCCTCGGTGCGCGTCCGCCGCCCTCATCTCCATCAAGTCTTAGTCTTTCATGGCATATTTTGGTGGCCGGGACGCCCGTTCCATGGGCACGCGGAGATGGTCCAGGTGCATCTCTGGCATCGGGGTTGGTCCAGTGTGCGTCTTCCTAGATTTGGCACCGTTTCTCTATGCCGAGGTCGGTATCGCGGCAAGCACAGAGTAGTGGCTACTACCAATAACACGCATCCTCCTCATCCTGTTCCTCGTGGCGTGCCGGCCGTGTTTCGTTGGTCGGACTAGCACACGTTCCGGACGCAGTCTTTGCAGTCCCGAATTGGGCACTGTACTTTCCGCATATTGCAGTGCCGATCGGGATGTCGACCGGGGATCAACCAGGAGTCAGGCATGAAGTTGGACATGAAGTTGGACATGAAGTTGGACACCGTCGCACAGCTGGGCCGACTAGAGAACGGGTCGGAGATGTCGAGCAGATGGTACTTGGAGGTTCAAAGGGTGTTAACGAGAGGCACGAGTGCTTCTTTATACCTTTTGTTGCTTCATCAAAACAAATTGGCCCCCTTTTTCGGAAGCTATCGCCATTACAGATTCTCTCAAACTCTAGCACCAAACTTACACGAACGGCCCCGTCGATAAGTCGTGCGTGGGTCGCGCCATTCACCTAGCACTGTGTTGAGATCTAAAACCGCCGTTCCTGACATGGTGCCTGGCAGCTGTCAGTGTCAATTCAGGCATCAGTAAGCAACAGCCATTATTGGAGATCCAGAACAAAGCGCTGTGTGGGGTGTTTTTCTTTGTCTGTTTTCTGTCTCGTTTTCGAGCGCGTATCAGGAACTCTCCACAGCCTCGTCAATCAGATGCCGCTATGGACGGTTTTGCTTGTTTAGGATAAAGGACGGGCCATTGTGACCACTTCCCTTTTACCTCTTTGGGGCAATTCGCCAGCCTGTGCCCATCGTCTCTTAACATTTTTGCTCTGCTAACTTTTTTGGTCAACGGCTCGCATCCAACTTGTCTCCATAATTACTGTTGTCGGCGGCCAATGAGGCAGGGTGAGCCGATACAGAGTCGAACAGTTGGGACTCAATACATTTCCTGTCCAGTACGATGTAAATACACTCCTCGTGCTTATTCAACACTCTTCCATGGAATCCACGGCGAAGAAGGAGGGAGGCCAAGGTCTAAAACACAGAGTGCCAGAGAAGCCGAATTGAAAGCGAGACATCCGGTCGGGTTGGAATCCAACAACAACCAACAGGGTCTTCTAACGACCACAGTGCGCGAGAGTTTTGTGGTTGCGCGAAGAGGCTGCACTTGTGATGGGCGCATGCTCGAGTATTTGTATCTGTAACCTGTCGAGCCCGTTAGCTCTGACGCCGTTGCATGCAGCTTGCGTTGCACTCCTTCTTGGCCTGCGATTTCTGCTGTTTCTGCTGTTTCTGCCGCCCCTTTTTGTAGTCTCTCGCTGGCCCATTTCCCGATTTCCGTCGGACTTCGGTTCCCTCGTGGCGGGAGCTCTGGGTCGGTGCCGATGAAGTGCAGGTGTGAAAACGGCGCTTGGCAACCCATGTCCAATCCGAAGCGGTCGTTTTCCCTCTACCTCCACATTCGTGCCATCTGAAGCCAATCCCAACCTCCATCTTCACAGGCAACAGGACATCGTCTCTCCATTTCCAAAGGCTTGAGCACTCCACTTCGAGCTGCGATCGCGCCACCCTCCCAATCAGCCAATCGCTTGCTTGTAAAATGGCTGCAAATGGGACCATTCCGAGCGGCCCAACTCTCTTCCCGGCCAGGGAACAATCGTCCCGAACAATCAATGAACGTGCAAGAGGTCGATTTGGTGCTGTTCTTCCTGTGCCCGACCCCGGCGGCGTGAACCAGGGTGGTGGGGGAAAAACGTACATTCGTACTCAAATGCCATACTCAGTCTGAGCATGCACGGTAGGCGAGAAGCGTGTGCACAAGAGCCGGTGTGTGAACGGGCGGCCCCAGTGTGATTGAACCATCTTGGCCGTGTCCTCGCCCCCGTGTCTTTTTCCTGTCCCTTTTTTCCATTGGGACTTTCTCACCCTTTCTCGTGATCTTACGCAAGCTCGATTTCTAAGCTCGTCAGCGGCCAAGTAGCCAACAAGGTTGCTGCGGTGTGGGCGTTAGTACGGTTGGGTGGGGGGGGCGACGGACGCGAGGGAAGCTCGTGTAGCTCGTGGATTTACTCCTGGGATCTATGTCGATACAGTCGACACAGTCGATGTCGTCGGGTCACTGACAGGGCAAAGTGGTCGTCATCTCGTCTTAGTCTGGTGCAAAAAGTTCAGAAGCCCCGAGAGCCCCTCGTTGCAACTTCCCAAATTGATTTTCCTCTCATCTACCCCGCCAATGAGCTTCGCCGCATTAATACGTGACCGTGGGTGCTGGTCCTGTATCGGCCCCGTACCAGCCTGGCGATCAACCCACGGATGCTTGGCCGCTCCTGCCAATTGCACCGCCATTGGTCCCGTTTTTGTCTCTGACCTGACTCCCTGAGGTGTGCCCTGGCTCGCCTGGTTCCTTCTTGTTTCGTCGCGCTTTCCCGGCACGTCTGCTCGCAACTGCCCTGGCACAAAAGGGCGTCTGAGACCATACAAAGTGCGGGGTAACTTGGTCCGTCCGGGTCCCTCCGACGATGTTGCGCACTGTGCTCAACACGAGAGCACGGGGCCAGGCGACACGCGCTTCCCAGATAGGGAAAAGAGGGAAAAAAGGGGAAAGGAACAAGAGGCGAAATAGGCCGCAAGAGTCGAGCTTGTGTTAGCTCCGACGTGGGCGGGGCGCGTGGTGTAAGAGGCCAGCTAGGAAGGAAAGAACCTGGCGAAACGTACAGAAGAGAATGTGAGCAAGAGGCAGGAGCGAAGCACACGAAACCGAGCCAAAGAGGAAGGAGTGCCACGAACCACCTGCCCTGTGTTGCTCCCGTCTTCCCAGCTCCCCTCTTTGTCTCGAGCGCATACCGCCTTTGCCTCCTCTCTCTCTCTCTCTCTCTCTCTCTCTCTGTCTCTCTCACTCACACACACACTTCTCTCTTCTACCCCTTGCCTCCCCTCCCTCTTTTATATTCAAGCCGCCCCCCATTTCCCACCCCCTCGTTTCTGTTCCTCTTCTTGTTGCTTTGCTCGCATCTCTCTCCTGTCTCCCCATCTCCCCAATCGACGTTGATGCGTCTCTCAGCTCGCACCAACTTCCATCTGCATCCATTGCAAACTCTCCGGCTTTCCTCTAGGCCTTTCTTCAAGCTTCCCTCTTCTTCTCTCCCCCGTGCGCTCTTCTCTTCCTCAGCGCCCACCATGGCCGAAGGCAAGTGTCCCGTAGCCCACAATGTCGCCGGTGGCGGCACCAAGAACACCGACTGGTGGCCCGGCCAGCTGCGCCTCAACATCCTCCGCCAGCAGAACCAGGTCTCCAACCCCCTCGACCGCGATGCCGACTACCGCAAGGCCTTTGAGAGCCTCGACTACTTCCAGCTCAAGAAGGACATTGCCGCCGTCATGACCAACTCCCAGCCCTGGTGGCCGGCCGACTTTGGTCACTACGGTGGTCTGTTCGTCCGCATGGCCTGGCACAGCGCCGGCACCTACCGTGCCTTTGACGGCCGCGGCGGCGGCGGCCAGGGCCAGCAGCGCTTTGCTCCGCTCAACAGCTGGCCGGACAACGTCAGTCTCGACAAGGCCCGCCGTCTGCTGTGGCCCGTCAAGCAAAAGTACGGCCAGAAGATCTCCTGGGCCGATCTGCTGCTGCTGACCGGCAACGTGGCCCTCGAGACCATGGGCTTCAAGACCTTTGGCTTCTCGGGCGGCCGTGCCGACACCTGGGAGCCCGACCAAGCCACCTACTGGGGCGGTGAGACCACCTGGCTGGGCAACGACGTCCGCTACGCCGACGCCGACAAGTCCAACGCCAAGGCTCACGCCGAGGGCCTCGAGACCCCCGTCGCCGCTGCCCACATGGGTCTGATCTACGTCAACCCCG